TTAATTGTTGTCTAGCTATAAAACTGAAATTCTAATGCTTATTTTGAACGTCAGCCATATTCTTGTAGGATTTGAGGTTTTCACGGCGGTGAGTCTGACTATGGCTGTCTTCTGGGTAGTTGGGCTGTGTAGTCTGGTAGACCAGTGGTATTCAACCTGGGGTACGCGAAGACATCTTAGGGAGTACGTGAAATTTATAAAAATATATTATTTTATGATAAACACTGAATAATTTATTTAATTTATTTTACATGTAGATTATATACTATGTATAACTTGAATTATACACCAACAACTTTGGGGGTACAAAGTTGAAGAGAAATTATATCTGAGGGTACGCGAACAAAAAAGGTTGAATATCACTGTGGTAGAACATGATTCATCGCCCTGATGATGGAGCCAGCAAGGATCTCTTAAACGTTGACAATAACCAATAACACAGCCATCTTCAACCATATTCTTGGTTTGAGTTCGATAAAGTAAAACTGTATTAAAAGAGCTGGTATTTAATATATATTTGTAACATGAAATCAAAAGGTACAAAAGTAGGATAATCTTTAATGTGGCATGATGTTTATAATCAAATTCCACAAAAATCCATGAGCTACTTCAAAATGGTTATGTAATCATGAACGTGACCGCTACGGTGGTGTAGCGGTTAGAACGTTGGCCTTGTAATCCTGGGGGCTCGGGTTCGATTCCCGGCGGCGCCCGAATTTATAATTTGTGTTGGGCAAGACCGTGGTCTAGGCAACACGGAGTTTTCCTCCGGGGGCTTCCCCGGTTTCTCCGTGGCATCCCAACAATTACTCCATTCACACACAGAAGAAGGCAATGGCAAACCACTTCTGGATCATTTGCCAAGAACGTATATGAACAGGTCCCAGTCCGAGAAAAGGATGGAAGGATCCTGTTCATATGGACCTGTCGTCAGACACAACACTAAATAAAAATAAAAATAATCATGAACGTATCATAAGCATATCTTTCTTTAACTAATGAAATGCCGCGCAGTTAATGTATCGTTCAAGAAGTACTACCTTTGTATCAGAAACTCACGATCAGTAACTGAGATTCTTGTATGATTTAGTGGCCACGCGCACCTAGTGACTTGGCACGTACTACAGATGAAAGGAAGACTTTTGTAAATAATAACACACCGGAAAGTGAATTCCGTGCCGGAAGATACACAAGATCTCATGCCTTGTTTCCAACGCATTGTTCGATAATTCCCATTTTGACCGTCAGATCTCAGGACGTCATTGTCTACCTCAAGAAATTTTCTCATTAGTAATTTTGTTATCACCACTCGTAGTAATTTCACAAGTACGATTTCGAGGTCGTGCACAATGGCACAAACTCCTCATCAGATTTCATCCAAACCCGTTCACTGGTTCTTGAGTTGAATCGAAGGACAAGTGTGACCAGCCAATACTGCGTTCTCGCGCTACTCTTCGTGCAAAGAGCGCATAATAATCGCTAATACGAATAACTTGAACAGCCTCCAACTCGTTCTGGTCTTTTCAAAAATGTCCTAGATGTATATCAAACTACACAACGCTCAGATGCTTATAAAATTCAGTGTCATTTGACAGAACTTTCAGAAATGTAAAAAGAAAACAGACGCCTTGAATATGAGACATCTATTGGTGCGGACAAGTTTTCATTGTATATAATACGTTTTAAACAATAATAAAGCAAAAAAAATATTGTTTATTTATTCCAATATAATTAAAGAGTAAACGATGTATGACTACAAGGACGTGGTCCTACCTTCATACATAATAAAACAGGAAATGTGAAATAATCGTTGTACGTAGTTACACTTGCCAGACGTGTTCTTACAATATTTTATTTTCCGTCTATACACAAACTTAAAATAATGTTGTTTAAAATTACTTAAAATTATAACATTCTCAGTAGATACTGTATCTTGTTACCGTCAGTCTACCGTCTCTTAATATCGGACACACAACACATCACTTACAACCCGATATAAAACATCCAAGCACAACCTCCAAATTTAAAGGAAGAGACTTAAAATCAAACAAATCAATATACGCAACGCAAGATGTGCAACAGTTTTTAAAATTGATAGACCTGATGATGATGTAATACACATCGAAACATGTCGTCAATATAAAATGTAACAAGATGCAGTATCTACTGAGAATGTTATAATTTTAAGTAATTTTAAACAACATTATTTTAAGTTTGTGTATAGACGGAAAATAAAATATTGTATCAATAAAACACAAACATGACGCAATTAAGATATAAAGTGTTCTTACAAATTTGTAATCTGCAAGAAGTTCCATTTTCCCTTAAATTCGACACACAAGTCCTATGTTCCTATCTTTTATTTGTATTAACTAAGACTGTGATAGCAGAACCAGAACGGTCTACTGCGTATTGAATATCAAAACCTGTTATCCTGATCTAGCTCCGTCCACTTCACATTTCCATAAATAATCTCCATAATTCCATCTATTTATCCCCTTCTCAGCTTCTGAAGTGAAAGTTTCCCAAAAAAATTTCATTACCAGAATTCTAAATGCATTTTTTTTCTCATACAAGCTGATGATTCAACCTACTTCACACCTTCACTCGTTATTTCTTTAAGATCCTCAAGTCTGCGATTAGGTCTCTAAGTGACGTATTCTCTTAAGAATTCCATACCAAAATATATCATGTATTTAGGCTAAGTTTCCTTCTACGTGGCGTATTCGTGCCATTTTCTGATTTATTTCGTATCCTTAACAATTCTGTTTGAATAGGTTCATTACTGTGTTCACAAGAGCCCGCCACTAGCCCCGAACCTGAGCCAGAAGAATCCAATCCAAACCACCCCATCCCATTTCTCCTAGATCCATTTTAATATTATCCTCCAAGAGATGATAAAGTTGCGTCATATTGTGATAAATATATATTTGTTTAATCTTGTCAGTCTAATCACAATAAAATTCCTATTAAATATTAAAATATTGCTATAATTAACATTTAAATATTTAAAATATATTAAAATGATGTTCTCTATCGAAATGTTCGATTTA